TTGGTGTGCCAGACTTCATTCGGATGAAGCAGAATGCATGAATGCTGCTACAGCGCTGAGTTTAGACAAATCGATGCAAAGGTTGCAAGCGCAGTCACATTGCGGCGTTACATGGCCTAAAAACTCTGCCCAGATTTTCGGGCATCACAGCAAATCGAGCCACGCCCCACAACAGCTTCACTTTTTCTGCCGGCATTGGCTCCGCCATCCTTTGGGCGGCTCCGCCATCCGCCTGCGCCGCCTTTGGGCGCTCGAGCGAAACGGCCAGCGCCTGTCACGCCGCCTGTCACGCCTGCAGCGAACCCGAGGCGAGGGATGGTCCAATTGGACCCGCTCAGGGCCACGTACTGTACCGCCTCGATGAGCCATGGTGAAATCTCAGAAACTAGAAAGACGGCCCATTTCCTTACTCGATTGTTTTCTCTGCTGGTGCCCAATTCAGGGACACATGGTAGTCACCCTCTGGATGTTGAGATTCTGACTTGGCCTCACCCGAAAAAGGGCCCAAACCCTTTTACTTACTTTGAGAGGGTTTCCACCAGCCCCAAGCCACTAGCACAAAGGGAGAATCAGATGTACACGCCAGTGGCACACCGTGGCACACCACATTTTCTTTTAGCAACTGGAGGGTGCTGGAACTATCTCAAGTACAAAGGCCTCCGGCACATAGCCCTTCTTGTCGATGTAGTTCAGTTCCTTCTCCATGAGCTTGCCTTACGTCCGGCACACGTTTATATGGGTCGCTGGGGGGCAAGTGTATGACTAGCTGTTGCTAGAACCGTCTGCTCAATGTCACCGCTACTTTCAATGGGTTAGTTTGCAAGGGGGTTCGCCTTTTCGTTGCAAAGTGAAGTTTCCTCAAAGCAGCATAATGGAATGAACATTGGCAAACACATGGCACGGTCAGCGCGAACGCAAGATCTCCAAGAAGGAACTTGAAGCAGGACGGGCATCTGAATGAGTGGTTCGGAACGGAGACAGCAGTTTGACAAGTAAATGGCGGGAGCTACATTATGTATATCCAGGAAGGAACTCAAAGTCGGAATGAAACCTTTTCCCAGACCTCCCTTGATACATGGAGATATATGAAGCCTGCACAAAATGATTGAAATTTGGACCGATTCGAGGTACGTGCACATGTGGCAAGTTGCGCAGGCAGAATTGTGTGTAGTTTTGATATTTTCCGCTACGCTCGCAGCAACTAAGCAAGAAAGTCAGCTTCGTCAGCATCACCAGTGCTCAAGGCAAAACACTGAACTGGTCAACACTTCCAAGCATCACATTTGCTTTACTCAAGGAACGCCTTTCTGCCTACTAAAAGTAGAAGTTGCTCTGTTTCGTACACAAAGTTTTTTTTCTGTTTACGACAAGTGGATGTCGCGCGAGTCCGTAGACCAAACTGGTCACAAATGCTGCAGCAAAGGAAACACTTTTCCGATGACTAGAAGCAGCTGTCGCAGTTTCCAAACCCAAGTTTGGAAAAGTCGTTTGACAGCATCAAGGTCCTTTTTGCTTTTGACTGCCACTGTTGACTAGACGGGTCGGCAGGTTTAGTTGAGGAAACGCTTTGTCGCTTTGCCACCTACAAAAAATAGATGACGCGATCATGCAACCTTCCAAACCCCCAGCTGTGGAAGGGAAGCAACGCGTAATTAGCATCTCAAAAGCTACCATTCATGCAGGGGGGCGGTAAAGGTCGCAAGACATAAGCAATCACTCGTTCTGAGCCTTCCCCAACGCCACCGCAACGTTTCCTGCGAACGTGTGCGGACGCACCATCGAACGCACGCTGACCCCCTCTATGACGGGACGCCCTTCTGCTATGCATGAAGGCGTTTGGGCTTGAAAACGGAGGGGTAGCTGCGCGAGTCCAGGCTCAGAGCAACGGTAGAAAAGGTCTGCCGCGCGGTCTGCAAGGCTGCTGCCCCATAAGTCCAAACATGCTTTTCAGACGCAATCGCTTTCCACACCGTGAGCGGCTGAAACTTTTCAAGGAGTCTTTCTATCTTTGCAGTGCCTCGTACTGATTTGCGCTCGGCAGTCTGCCTGGACAAAAAACAAATCTTTCTGGGGGATACAATTTAGATGATGCATCCAAGATCCAGGATTGTCTGGGGACTTTTTTGAGAATTCTTGGATCCCTGACTGGCCCCCACAATTATCCATGCAGAATTTCTATGTTCAATAAAGAGTGTTTATATGGATGCTGAATCTAACCGGACCCAAAATCAAACACGCTAGCAAGCAAGCAAAGCAAGCAAAGCAAGCAAAGCAAGCAAAGCGAAGCAAAGCAAGCAAAGCAAGCAAAGCAAAGCAAGCAAAGCAAAGCAAAGCAAAGCAAGCAAAGCGAGCAAACACGCAAACAAACAAATAAACAATCAAGCAGGCAGACAGTAAAATCAAGAAACAAGCGAGCAAGCAAATAAAGAACAACAAGAAAGCCGCCCCAAAGCACGACGGTCCACCCCGTCGATTAAAAAAAAAAACACATATTCACTTG